CAAAATGCTGGGATTACAGGCATGAGCCACCATGAAAATATATTTTTTAAAAGGTAATCAGTTATTTAATTAGATCCTTAAGACATTTAGAACACCAATTTGTGAGGATAAATTCCACTCCTCAGGGCAAACACAGATTGCAGGTAGCCCTGGAGCTAAGGAGTAGCTTTGATTTTTGGTAAACTTTGTGAGTCCGCAGTTTATCAATTTTCTGCTTTTCTGTAATCTCATAATTTCTTTTCTGTGTCGAAGATCTCACCTTCCTGGTATCTGGGCTTCCCTAGCTGCTGCTTGAAGTAAGCATCAGTAAGATGTTTTGGGATTTTTACACTGCTATCAATTTTGGTTGAGGTGGCAATGACAAATTTCTGGTGCGTCCTTCATAGAGGAACTCAATTGAGGATGAGAAGTCCAGTCGCAAGTAACAAGCCACTACTAGCCAGCTGCTTCAGGAAAACCATCCTCTTGCCCTTGTGGCGTCCAGTGAGGATGATCAGAATGGTCCTGGGAGTAATGCTGGCTCACAATTTTCTCACATGCTGACTGAAGGGTTTTTTGCCATGGCTCAACAGCTTTTGAGGCACATCTTCATTAGGATAACACCTAGGCATTTTGCGAAGTTTAACAACCTGGGTACCACCGTTCTTGTCACCACCAACTGGTTTTGTAACAGTTGCAAGAACCTTTTCTCCTTTTTCTTTTCAACCTTGGATTTAGCGGCTGAGTACTTCCTCTTGTACGTGCCTTTCTGGAATATGTGGCAGATTGGGAATACCTGCCAGTTCCTCTGACAAGGACGGGATTGCGGTTGCAATGGGGCTTCCCCCTCTTGGGGTTTTTAGCCTTGAGGTTACCCTTTTTCACTTTGCCGCCAGCATCAGCCTTCTTGACTTCAGGTTTCTTCTTTTTAGTATCTGGCTTCTCAACTTTTTCACCTGCCATCTTGCAAGATGGGAAAGAGCCAAAAATCTGGGTTTTTTTTAGCACAAGGCAGTGGCAGCTTACAAAGGGCTCTGCCTGCCCTGCCAATTCAGAGATTCTGGCTTGCAGAGAAAACAAAGTAATTTCCTGTTATCATTCTTGGGTGGATAGGAATTGGTTGGGAACTATGATAGAAAACATTAAAAAGTTTAGGCCTAGAGCAGAATTATGCTAGCCTTGTAATTAAGGCAAATTTTTGGTGGAAGATATCAAATCTACTTGTTTTAAACTTTAAATCCATTTTACAAAGAATTGAATCTAAAGAACAGAATGTACTGGAACAACTTTAGTGAAACTCTGAAATGTGGAATTGTAAGGTGCACCTCCTCAGTGTCCTAACAATTTAGTGGGGGAAGATCGACATGGGACACAGACTACATTTGTTCAGAAAAGCAAACATCAATGTGGCCTAGACTAGTGAGGGGCAAGTTTCCAGGAGGTGGTGAGTTTGGAACTAACGTGGCAGGATGCAGGGGACTAGGAGAGCGGGTGAGGGAAGGTGATCGCAGGAGCCTAGAACACCTCTGCATATTTCATTCCCTTATTTTCTCTTCCTCATGAAGGCCCAGGGTTTTTCATGGACAGGAAGGTTTGGGGGCTGAAGTGACTAGTAGAATTGAATGTGCCAAACAGCCAAGATAAGCAGGATGGCAGCTCCTTTTATGGGAACTTGAAAGCCAGACAGAATTCAGAGATAGTTTGGTTTCCTTCACAGCATATTAATGCTCTGAAATTAAAACTGCCTTTTAATAAATCATATGCTTAGTTATAATCCTTCATGAGAAGAAAATGCTCATTTGTAAATACCATCTCTGGTTTGATAATTTTGCCCTTTTCCAAAGCACTTGGAAAGTAGCCAGCTTCCCTGAAAGAAAATGGCAAAGTTTTGTAGCAGTTGTTATTAAACTAGAGGAAGTGCTTCTGTACAAGGGAGATTCTGCACAAGGGGAGGCTGGTAGCTGGGAACCTGATAGCACAGATTCCCACCAAAGTCCATTTCCTAGACATTTAATTCAGTGATTCTGCCTCCGAGGAGACCTGCAGTAAAACTGACCACAAAGCTAACAGATTATTTAAGTTCTCCAGGTTTGGGCTTCTTAAAGGGATATAGTCTTATGTGACAATTTATTCTTATCTATGGAGTAACAGACATCCAATCCACTGGTGACAGGCAACCTGCCCCTTTCAGAATCTGGTCCCTCTTACTCCCTGATTCAGATCTTTAGCCCCATGCCCAAGTGCTATGAAACCATTCTGTGCCTTTAAGGAAATTAAATGTCTAATATAATTCACATACCATAGAATTCATCCTCTTAAAATGTACAATTCAGTGGTTTTAAATATATTCACAGAGTAGCACAACCATCACCAGAACATTTGTAGTCCCAGCTATTTGTGAGGCAGAAGCAGGAGGATCACTTGAGCCCAGGAGGTTTAGGCTGCAGTGAGCCATGATCATGCCACTGCACTCCAGCCTGGGATTTTAAAGTAGTGGTTCCCAAAGGTTAGTCGCAAAGTATTCTTCTAGGGTGCTTTATAAAACTACTGATTCCTGGGCCTTACCCCTAGAGATTCTGAATCACTGGTGGAAGAGGCAGGTCTGGGAAGTGGGGACTCCAAGATCTATATTTTGCAAAGTTTTCCAGATGCTTCTGATGTACAGCTTGGTTTGTGAAACTATGTGATGCTGTATAGTGTGGCTGAAACTGGTTTCATTTAAGTGTCCCATCATTGCCAACTCCTGAATATGTCTACCATTTCTCTGAGAATTCCAACTGCTCAGAGCTTTGCTTAGGAAGGGGAGGGGACAGCCTCCACGTTTCCATGACATGTGTGACTGGACCAAGAATGGAGTCCTGAACCAGTCTAGGCCAGCACAATTTTCTCTCCCAGGAACTTGGACTTTAGATCAAGACTTGAAATCAGTCACAAGTTGGTTGTGACTAACTGGAAAGATTTTTTAGAGCTGGTGAAGCCATTTTCCACCAAATGTCCATTAATGGAGACTGTATCTTAAAAGAAAAGTAGAGAAAAGGAAACAGATGGGCAAAGAAAAGTTTGTTTTTTCTACCCTACTGCAAATACAAAATACTCTAAATTTAACACATTCCATATTCTCATTCCTCACCCAAAAGAACTGTTCCCTCATCGATTTCTTGATTCCTGGTATTGCAGCACCATCAGATTCCCAAGCACTGCCCTTCTCTCACCCTCCTACTTTGAATAAGTGCTGTTCTCTCTCCTTTTCGTTCCTCATTCCTCTGCTGGAGCCTTTTTTTGGGCCACCATTTCTTACTTGGTCTAACCAACATTCCAGCTCTAGGCCTCTTTACTGACTTCTGGCACAAAATTTGATCAGACCATTCCAGCACTTAAAAAGTCATGGCTCTCTGTTTTTGAGGATTATGAAATTCAAAATCTTTAGCATAGCACAACAAACCCTTTGTAAGATAGGATCCCAGCCAGACCCCTCTCCTGTCATGCAAGTAGCCTCTTTTCACAGGGTGCCTCACACCTCTGCATATTTCCTCTTCCTCATATCCTGTACTCCTCTTTTAGGTACACCCCTTACTTCTAGTGCTTAAATGCACAATTTGAATATCAACTCTTTTTAAAGTCATTGTATTAGTCCTTTCCACACTGTTATAAAGACATGCCCAAGACTGGGTAATTCATACAGAAAAGAGATTTAATTGACTCACAGTTCCACATGGCTGGGGAGGTCTCAGGAAACTTACAGCGGAAGGGGAAGAGGCATGTCTTACATGGTGGCAGGCACAAGAGAGCAAACCAGTGAAGGGGGAAGAATCCATTATAAAACCATCAGATCTCATGAGAACTCATATCATGAGAACAGCATAGGGGAAACCACCCCCATGATCCAGTCATCTCCCACCAGGTCCCACCCTCCACAGGTGGGGATAATGGGGATTACAATTCAAGGTAAGATTTGGGTGGGGACACAAAGCCAAACCATATCTGCCATCTCTGAATGTCTGGGCATCCCATTCTCTAGTATTTATCACATGGTATTTTTTTCTTTCTTTTTTTTAAAATTTATTTATTTTACTTGAGGTGCATACTATATCTGGCATCTCTCCCCATGTTATCCCTCCCCACGCTCTCCTCCCTCCCCACCCCCCACTGTCTCTCCCCTACTCCCCCAATGCCCCAGTGTGTGATGTTCCTCTCCCTGAGTCCATGTGTTCTTGTTCAACACCCACCTATGAGTGAGAACATACGGTGTTTGGCGTTCTGTTCTTGTGTCAGTTTGCTGAGAATGATGGTTTCCAGGTTCATCCAAGTCCCTACAAAGGACACAAACTCATTGTTTTTTATGGCTGTATAGTATTCCACGGTGTATATGCACCACATTTTCTTTGTCCAGTCTATCATTGATGGGCATTTGGGTTGGTTCCAGGTCTTTGCTATTGTACACAAGGCTGCAATGAACATGCGTATGCATGTGTCTTTGTAGTAGAATGATTTATAGTTCTTTGGGTATATACCCAGTAATGAGATTGCTGGGCCAAATGGAATTTCTATTTCTAGATCCTTGAGAAATCGCCACACTGTCTTCCACAATGGTTGAACTAATTTACATTCCTACCAACTGTGTAAGAGTGTTCCTGTTTCTCCACATCCTCTCCAGAATCTGTTGTCTCCAGATTATTTTTTTCTTTTCTTGAGATGGAATTTCGCTCTTGTTACCCAGGCTGGAGTGCAATGGCGCGATCTTGGCTCACCACAACCTCCGCTTCCTGGGTTTAAGCAATTCTCCTGCTTCAGACTCCCGAGTAGCTGGGACTACAGGTGTACGTTACCATGCCCAGCTAATTTTTGTGTGTTTAGTAGAGACGGGGTTTCACCATGTTGACCAGGATGGTCTCAATCTCTTGACCTCGTGATCCACCCACCTCGGCCTCCCAAAGTGCTGGGATTATAGGTGTGAACCACCGTGCCTGGCCTCCAGATTTTTTAATGATTGCCATTCTAACTGGTGTGAGGTGCTATCCCAAAAAAATATGGAACGCTTCACGAATTTGCATGTCATCCTTGTGCAGGGGCCATGCTAGTCTCTGTATTGTTCCAATTTTAGTATATGCGCTGCCAAAGCAAGCGTGGTATTTTTTTTTTTCCTTTTCTTTACTGAGAGACTGAGGTCTCCATTATCCATGGTATTGTAATTATTTGCTCATGTATCTCTTCCATAAGACTGTGAATTCAACTATGTCTTCTTCCACACCCAGGGAATGCTTGGCACATTAACTAGGTGTCTCAGTCTATTTTGTGCTGCTAAAACACAATAACAGACTAGATAATTTTTAAATGATAGAAATTTATCTATCACAGTTCTAGGATACAAGATCAAGGTGCCAGCATCTTGTGAGGGCCTTCTTGCTGTATTCTCACATGGTAGAAGGGCAGAAGAGCAGAAGAGGGCACCCACCCCACAAACCTTTTGATAGCAGCATTAATCTATTCATGAGGGTCACTCTATTCATGAAGGTGGAGCACTCTTGACCCAAATGCCTCCCATTAGGCCCCACCTCCCAATATTCTTGCATTAGAAATATAAGTTTCTGACATATGAATTTTGGGGGACATATTCAGACTATAGCAGTAGTCAGTGTTTAATGTACAAGAAGATGAATAAACAGGCTTAGCAATGTTATCAGGGACAATAGATGGGCAAGATGCCATTCTGTGCCCAATCTCCTATCAAATTCTGCCCTCCCACCACCCAGCACTATGTGCCTATGCAGGTATGTGTCCTTTGAGCAAAACACAGCAAGGAAAGAGGGAGAAAAATCTGTGTTTTCACCTTTTTTCTTTTTAAGAGATGGAGTCTTGCTGTGTTGTCCAGGCTGGATTTGAACTCCTGGGCTCAGGTGTTTTCCTGCCTCTACCTGCAAGAAGCTGGGACTAAAGGTGCACACCACTGTGCCAGGTGTTTGTGGTCTCTCTTTAAAGGTGAGTCTGCATTCACCTTTGGAATAGTTCTAGTTGTCAGAGATTGAATATCCTATTTCAAAAAGCAATATCCTTACAACTGCCTTTGATGATTTGAGATGGGACCACTGGGGAAAACTCCAGATGACTAGGGGACAAGTAATTTGATTACAGTGCCAAAATGCTTCCATTTAAGGAGCCAAAGTGTGCAAATGTGTGTAAATGGATCCAATCTATTTCCAGGATGTGCCTGGAGTAACTGTAATGTATGTAAGTTGATCCAACCTATTTCTGAGGTGTGCCCGGACATAAATGGTTAACACTGACAAACACATCTTATGAAATCTACCAACAACTGAGGGTGCCTTCTACCTCCCTGGAAGGCCAGCTGGGGCGGCGTTTGGAAGTTGTCTTCGGCCCCGTCCCCTCCCGGGACGTGGACGTTCGCCTTGAACTTGAGCCACGCCTGCCGAGGCCTGGTGGGCGGGCCCGACACGTGGAGCGCGGGTCTGATTCTCGGATGGGGCCTACGCCATTGCCGCGCGGCAGCTCCGGGCCAGGCCCTCGCCCTACGTCAACAGCGTAGGCCTAGCTGTTCAGGTTTACTCTTACGCCACTGACGTAACGTCATCGTGCTGGACGTGTACGGAAGGAAAAAGAGAGTGAGCTGGCGCCGGAATCGGCCCGGCGTGGAGTGCGGACCCGCGGCTGGCCCGGGCGGCGGTGAGGCAGGTAGGCGGCGAGCGGCGGGCATGGCTAGGCGCCCGCGTTTCTGCGAAGGCTGATGCGCGCCCAGGTTCAAGCGCGAGGGGCATGAGCGCCGGGTCGCGGGTCACCGAGGAGGCTGGGGGGGCGCGGCCGGAGCAGCTGCTAGAGCCGGCGCCAGAGCCTGGGGATCTGGCCGGCGGGAGGATGTGGGTCTCGGCGGAGGGATGGCGGCTGCACAGGGCCGCCCAGGGCGCGCTCCCATATGCCGGTGCGCGGCGGCCCCGGGATCTACGGATGGCTACGGGCCTCCGGCTTCCCTTGCCGCCCCTGGCTACACCAGGTGAGGAACTGGGCCAAGTGGAGAATTCAGGCCCCTTCTTGGTCCAAGAGTCCGGAGCCTGCACTGGTGCTGGCGGTGGTGACTGCGCCGGGATGCCGCCGGTTGTAGCTGGCCACACGCCGACGGGGGTCTGGGTCTCTAGTTCCCCGCGGCCCTCCGGGTGTTCGTGATCCCATCCTCAAAGCCGGAGTCCCTTTGCAGTATGGCATACTGTGTACGCTGGGGCCTTTCTGTTACAGCAGGGCGCACCCAGATCCCTTCCCCCATTATTGTCCCCTGCCCTCTAACGTGGTGAGGCCCATCGGGTCTTTGTGTTTGAGTAGTGAGCCATATACCGAGCATGTGTTTGTGGGTGAACTGTGTTGGGACTGAAGTTCAGTTCTCTGTTCAAATTGGTTAGATAAGGGCTTTCTGTTTACAGTCTGTAAAGAGATACTTGAGAAATGTTTTGAGTCAAAGCATGACAACTTTTATCAACTGATGATATGGAGTCTAAACACACACAGAGTCTAGATACAGTCACACGAATCTAGACACATGAGTCCACACACACACACACACACACACCCCATTTACTCCTTGAGATCAACTATGTGCTTCTCCAGGGCGTAATACACTCTGGCAAGGTGAGCTATCCATTGCAGCGAGAGAGCAGATGTAACCTCCGAGGTCAGTCAGAGATGGTGGCACAGGGCAGAGGCCAGGAGGCTTGGTTTCTACATCAGTCTTCAACTTCTAACTCAGTGACGGTAAATGTTCAAAGCTTTCAATCACTCTTGGGTAATAGGTAAACAGTCAATCAATATATGTGTGATTATATCTAACAGGAATATTCATTGAATTCTTTGTTCCCTGATGGGTCTTCAAGGAAATTAAGGAAAAAATAAATGTAAGGCATCATTAGTGGCTAAAAGACAAAAGGAGGAAAACTGACATTAACTGACCATCTGTTGTACCCATGCATTATCTCATTTAATTCTCACTGTAATTTCATGACATCCTTAGTGTTAGTATCCCTGATTTATAAGTGCGGAAACAGAGGCTTAGAAAAATTAAGTAACTCTCCACAAGACACAGATAGCAAGTGCAGAGATCGAACCCAAATCTGACCAACTCCACAGGCCTTGTTGTTTTTGCCATATTGTCAATGGGACGTTTGTAATCCAGATGGGAAACGCAGTAGTCATGAACTACTTAAAAGCTAACCCATAAAATTATATCCAGCCATGAAGACCTATAGAGTTGCTGGGGAAGGTTTCTTAGGGAGGTGGAACTAGAATTTGATTGTTTTACCCTTTGGCTGTTCTACAAGTATTTTGGAGAATTCCCATGTAAATAATTGTTTAGCAGCCATTATTGAAGGAATTTACATAAGCAGCAAACATGGATCATGGGCTAAAACCATACTTCAGTGTTATGAAAAAACTGAAATCAACAATTAATACTTTCTGTTGCCTGCTAGATGCCATATGTTTTAGAATAGCTGTATCCTGCCAGTCTCTGTCCCATTTTGGTGCCGTCGTGCTGTATAAGTTGTAAAGCAATACACACATCCCTGATTTTTCTTCACCATAGGGCTAAATGCTGGTCTTCTGAGGCACATTTAGGAGGGTTGGGATATATCCACCAATCCATAGAGCAAAAGTTAAAAGGAGGCCCACAAACAAAGTGAAATATTTTTCTTACCTTGTGAAAACAGCAGTGTCTCTATAGCATAATAAGAGCTACAATAATGAATGGCTTGTTCTCTGTGTACATATGGGAAGGAGTCCCTGCTTTTTTGTGAAATAAACTATTTGTTGCTGCATTAAAAAACAAAAAAACGATTTGTCTAAAGTCTCAAATTTTGACCCAAGGTGGGGAAATGCCCATAGCCGCCTCATGTTGTCAGCTGAGATTTGTAGCCATGTTCTTATCCTCCACAGGATTAAGATGTTAACGCCAGTTGCGGGCATTGCTGCTGCCTTCCATGGGTGCAAGAGTTACTTTATAATCCTGTGGGCAACAAAGACATGGCAGCAGCCTTTGGCCTTTCCTCTTGCTTCTCATGGCTGTCTGGCAGGGATCAAGCTGACATTTCAAATATGTGTATTTCCCGGTTCTGTTGGGAGGTGTTAGTAGAAAGGCGGACATGGTTGCTTTAGGATGTTGGATCTGTTGTAGGAATTATATAAAGATTTAGTATTAATACATAAGCATTGCACCTGAAAGATTTTTTTTTATTTAATTAGGAAGATGCCAAAAAGAGCAGATGTTTTTTGTCTATCAAAATGTTCATAGCCCTGCATTGTTATTTGCTTACATAAACACTAAGATGGTCCTAGAAAAGGAAGGGCTAGGGTTGAGGCCTAGAGAGAGGCACTTATTCTTTCTCTCTTTTCTATAATATAGAGGAGGTTGAAGTTTCTCTAATACAGAGGAGTTTGGAGCAGGAGAGTCAGATTTTTACTCCAACAGTAAGGGGAGGTAGAGGGAAATAAAATGAATTGTCCAGTATTTTTCATTATTCGCTTTTTAAAAACTGTATTCTGCAGATACTTTGGACAGTGACCACATCGCAGCATGCTGAGTCAAGTTTACCGCTGTGGGTTCCAGCCCTTCAACCAACATCTCCTGCCCTGGGTCCAGTGCACAGCCGTCTCCAGATCTCGTATGTACCATAGGAAACTTATGAGTATCTGGGAAGTTTGGTTGTCAAAGTATGTTTCAGATGAGGTTTTAAAAGAGAAAAAGGTGTTTGCTTGGAGACAGGGTCTCATTTTGTCACCGAGGCTGGAGTGCAGTGGCACAAACATGGCTGAGTGCAGCCCAGACCTCCTGGAATCAAGCAATCCTCCTGCCTCAGCCCACCAAGTACTTGGGACTACAGGCACACACCACCATGCTGACTTTTTTTTATTTTTTGTAGAGACAGGATTTTGCCATGTTGCCCAGGCTGGTCTTGAACTACTGAGATCAAACAATCTGCTCACCTTGGCTTCTCAAAGTGCTGGGATTACAGGCATGAGCCATCATGCGCAACCAAGAAAAAGGGTTTAAAAGAGAGAAAGAGAAGATGTAATTTGGCAGAATTAGACAAAATTCTGCCAAATACCAAGGAGGCAAGAGTCAGCCTCCTAGTG